GGGGGCGGGGCTCACACACACCAGCACACAGCCAACCACCCCAAGATGAGCAACTGTGGCCCAAGCGTCTCCCGTTGGCTGCCGGACCAGCCCGGCTGACAGGCTCAAGGGTCAGGTGCGCCTTCTGTGACCTCTCTGGGGCTGTTTAAACGGCTAACATTTGGGAGGCTGCTCTTGACCTCGGGGTGGCGATTCACTGTCCCTTGGCTGCACGGGGGTGCAGTTCCCGCCTGCCCGGGCGATGTGTGTGTGTGTGTGTGTGTGTGTGTGTGAGACCAGCAGGGCAGAAGCTCACCCCGCTGCCAGACTGGCCAGCACGGACCACCAACACCCCGAAACCCTCTGCTGGCCCTCGGCACAGACCCCACAGGGGAGGGCTATCTCCCTCGCCACGTGCCACTGCCAGCAGTGGGTGCCCTGGTCACCAAGGCTGCCCAGCTTGGTGACTCCCAAATCCTCCTCTGTGCATCGAAGTGCTGTGGACGCCCAGAACTCAGGGAAGGAATTTTGGAGTTTAATAAAGGGCCCTGATGCAGGGCCCCTCCGGAGGCGGGGCATAGGGTCACCTACACAGGTCCTGCATCCCACTGTCCATTGCGAAGTCCCTCTCTGGACACACCTGTTGTCCAGAGGATGGCGGGGCCACCAGGAAGTCCCAGGGACTTCCAAGCCCCAAGAAACCCATGTGTGGGAGTGGGGTGCGAGGCATCAAGGTCCAGCTGCAAGAAGTCACACCCCAGCCCCGAAAGCCACAAAACTATTTTAAAAAGATTACTTATGCACACAGAAGCTGGGGTGCAGCCCAGAGGGGGGGCGTGAGAGGATGCCCCAGAGACAGAGTGGGGAGCAGAGAAGGAAGATCCACTGAAACCCACTGCTGAGGGGGCAGCGGGAACAGGAGGGGTCTGCTGCGTCATGTGGTCACTCCCTGGCCAGGATGGACTCAGGCCACTGTGGCTGCCACTAGCTTTAGAGTGGAGTCACTCCTGCGCCCCCAAAAGTAAACTTTGAAGCTCCCGGTGGGATACAGGCCAGTAGACTGTGGGCCACTCTCCTCCAACTGGCTGGAGGGGTCAGCATCTGTGGGGGTCACGGGGCGGCTCGCAGAGACGCCTGCGCAAGCCCGGATGGAGGCCCGGTCGCCTTCCACACCCC